TCTTTGCAACAGAGTGAAAACATTTTCTCTATAAAATACATTCCTGTGTTCCTATTGGCCAGTCTCTACAGAATTGACAGCTGAGATAAGAATACATTGATTTGAATTTAATAAAAAAAAAAAAAAAGGACTACATTGTAGAGCTAATTAAACATATGAACAGATTCACACACAAAACGGACGAGGCTTCAGATATTTAAATAGAATTCAGTTGCTTTATGTCATCATACATTAGGCAAAGAGAAAATAGGCCACTGAGCGATACGTAGAAAAAACTTGAGTAATAACTTGGTACAATTAGTTAAAGGTTCTCTATGTAGACAAGTGTTTTGGATTTTGTGTGGATTCTTTCTTATTGGATGCACCCAGCTGTCGTCAAATAGAAGCTGTTTGGGTGCAGAATGGCCCCTTTATCACAGCGCAGCCCTGCAACCAGAATGAGGTGAAACGTTCTGCACAGCATCCACCACTTCCTGCATGTGCATGGAGCCTTAAAACCAAATCTTTCTATAAAGTCAGGCTGTTAAAAAATACAAAAATAAAAATACCTTCATGTGACAAGGCCAAAGCCTTTTTTCTGTTTTTTATATTTTGTTTAATTTGTTTAATTAATTTAATTTGTTTAATTTAGCCTAAAATTTCAATAACTTCACTCGTCTTTTACGGAAAGACGCTGAATATAAGTTGAGAAGTTATGAACTTTTCTTTGCTTAATCAATTAAAGGCTTTTTAAAAACAGCTTTAATCCTTTTTAGGGCAAGTTACTGTTTTCGATCCCCCTTACAAATGTCCCCCCCCCCCATACCTCAGTGAGGTCTAGAAGCACAAGATCTATATCCAGCCATTCTGCAAAGATTCTGCTACATGGCTTTACATCTGACATTAGCATTTGACCGATTAGATAAGCCACATTACCTACTGTAAATTAAGTTCAAAAAAGTTAACAAGTCAAGAAAAAATGTAAAAAACTCATTGAAAAGTTAAAAAGTTAATAAGCCTAGTTAACATTATATGTAAGTTTATAAACTAAAAAGTGTCAGTGCCAGTATCAGCATTAATTAAGGTTAAGTTGTACCAAATAAATTTTGTTTCTTTCACTCTGAGTGTTTTTCATGAATTTCTTTAGAAGCACTTTTGTTATTTTTCTTCATATATTCAGGCAGGTTGGCGTTTCTTGTTATTACATTGACATTCATTTTTGCCATTAAAATATCCATATTCTTTAAATGTTACTTGAATGTTGCTATGTTTTAGCTAGGACTTTCACTATCATTTATCACCTGCCTATATGGAATGTAATGGAGATTGACATTTTAACTGCTCTTATTATTAGCTACTTATTAGCAACTTGAGTTTATGAGCCCACCTCGAGCCACACTTGAGTCACAAAAAATAAAAAGACTGGATTTGGACCAGTTCTTTGAAGACTTTAAACTAGACTCGGACTCGGGAGCTGAGACTCTATTCTTGGTAACAGTTTTTATCGCCTATATTGAGGAGAGAAAAGAAACCGGCGAGAGCTACAGACTTCAGTTGCTGCACAATGGATGTGGTTCATTGATAGCCAAGGAAAGCAGTGGATTGTGGGATATTAATGGTTTAGAACCATTCATCCATGTTAGCGGAAGCTTTATGATAATTAACACGGATGTCTTATTAAATGAATGTTGTTAAATAGTTTTTTTGACAAGACTTTTTCATCATTTTAGAAAAAAATATCTCTGCTAAGCTAGCTGCAAAATTATATGGGGTTGTGTTCAAATG